TTGAGCATTTTTGTCGGAAATATATTCTGTATCTCGGTGCAAGTGAACAAGAAAAGGTTTTGTATATCTCACCCCACCTCACTCCAAATGGCCAAACAAATCCATTCATTTGTTGAAATCTTAACAGTTTTTTATGCGTCTGCGTAAAATTGGTTACTTTTTCGATGTATGTGAATTTCTAACGAAGAAGCCAATTCAAATCCCCGGTCCCCATTTCATTTTTCTTTCGATTTTTTTTTCTTCCATGAATTATTCTCAGTTACCTAAGAAAAAAAATCCAAAAAAAAAAACAGCATACACACAAGTTCTATAGATAAAGAAGCGAAACGACTTGAAGATGAAGAAGAATAATGCTGGTAAAAATAAAAGAACCTAGGCGCACAATAAAACAGTTGAAATAAAATTGTATTGCTGGGAATGTGTTTGGTATGATTATATTGTTATTTGTTCAGTGGAATTGCATGATTACCTCGTGGATGGATTCTCTCCCAGTTTCTTCACTTTTGTTTCCATTTTTTTTCTCGCTCAACCGTCGTTGTTTTTGAATATATTTCGCTTCATATTTTCAACCATGTATTTCAAATGGGGCGAGAAAAAGTGTGCAAGTTTTATTGGATCGTAAATATTTCTCGGTCAATTGCCATTCGTAAAAATATAATAGCCAGAGTGTACACTTGCACTTCAGGTCAAAGATTTATTTAGCGGGCACGGGACTAGACGAAAGATGAACCAATTCAACCAAATTTCATCGTTACACTTCATAAGTGTCTTGAACATCAAAAGTATTTCGCTCTATCTGTTTATTTGTGCGCTGGGCTCCGTTTTTGGTGAAGAGTGGTTAAAAATTTTGGCCATTGAATGTTGCCACATTCAGGGCAGAGAACAAAACGCTTTAAAAATATGACGGTTTCTGAGAGTCGACTTTTTCTTCATTGAAAACTGTAAATGTTTTAGTAATCTTGCATTGCTCCGCACAATGGCCCAGCCAAAACTTGAAACATTCGACGAAAATGCAAGAATGTCTATGAAAGCAAGAAATAGAAGAAGAAGAAGAATAAGAAGAAGAAGCAAATACATAGAAAGACTGCTTTCGTTGTGGAAAATCTTATGCCATTAGTTCTGAGTGCTATTTATAGTCGAGTTGTGGTTTCTGATGGCTGTATGATTATTACCCTGAATGAATAACGCAATCGTGTAGATTTTTGCACGTTTCGGAGCTTATCGAAAGTTTTATGAATACTGGTCGGTCGTGAACAGCCGCTTGGAACTTCTTTATATTTGTTCGAAAAGAAACCATGAAGTCGTCTTCCTCCACATGGCCAGTTGAATAATTTAAACGAGTTTATGATTTCAATATATTTTCGAGGTGTTTCGTTTCACCATATACTTTTTGCCTTAGCAAAAGAAAAATACCAACTCCCCAAATGCAATGCACACTTAGAAGAGAGCTCAGCGTCAAATGATTGTATGGCCAAAAAAATGTGTAGATGCTTTTTAAGGCTCGTGCATTAAAAATATGGAAACTTTGTAGTGGCACAATTCACTTTGTTGTTTCTACTGTGAGGATGAGTTCCATCGAAATCCATTAACGTTGAAACAATGTACACGATGCATTTGTTTCTTCTGTTCGCTTCCGTTTTTTTCCAACTGATATTTCACCGAACCATTATTCTCGCTCTGGTGGCCCAATAATTTTGGTACATTTCATTCCCGTTGCCTGCGATTTTTCATCAGCTCATTCATTTCCCTAACAAACATCTTTATGCGTTGTATTGTGGTCTCGAGTCGTTTGTATTTTTCAATTTTCACCAAAATTTACTGTGCTGTATCTGGGTCGAACGATGTGGTTACAGAAACGGAATAATCGCTTAAAATACCGGAACCAAGCAACCAGTTTCTTTTCCTAGTTCTCGACTTTGGCACACGGTAATGTACCGAACACAGCAATATTTTTTCTGGATATAAGTATGTATGTGTGTGTGTGTGTGTTCTTTTTTGGTGAATTTCCTTATTCCAGTGGTAAACCGTAAGAAATGCCGAGAATTTTATTTATCGAATTGCGTCGAGGCAGAAGAACGAATGAAAACAATGAGCAAAATATTTTAGCGACAGACGAAATGGCGAGAATAAATAGGGTTTGAAAAAAAAAACAGTGCCGCACATTTTATGTTGGCTATAAATTCATGGCATGCACACTGTTTTTCGTCTCTCTTCAAGAGCACGCTCTCTGGATTACACATTACATATATTTCAATCGGTTCGTGCAATTTTTTTGCCACAAAATTCACTCATATAAACACTCTCGTTCGCTCTTCTCTAATTTCAATCTTAATCTTTTTTGTCTTTTTGCGATGCGGTGTTTTTCCCCTCCAACACCAAATGAATTTTTCGAGTTATTTATGCCTTTGGTTTGACTCGCTTCAGTCTTGGAATATTTCACTTTACCTTCCCTTTTTGTGGGCATCTCTTCGGTTTTGCCATGCTTTTTCCGCACCTTTTAGGTGAATATCGTATTTTAATGGCGTGCCATTTGGTGCGATAAAAAATAAAATCATCTAGGAACATATAATTTCCTGTCTCTCACAAAATTGTGCTTGATGGAATTCTTCCAGATGCGGACGGCATGCCCAACAACACATAATTAAGCTTTTAATTTTCCAAATGATCAGAAAACAAAAACTATGATTCAATTGTTGTATTATAAAAGTCACTCAGCCATGAGTTTGTGGATAAAAAGTGCTCGCTTTGTTAGGATTTGTTTAACGTATTTTGCTTGTTCAGTGAAACGCTAAGAGACGTGATTGGAGCGTGATATAGAGTGGACGAGCCTCAAATTTGTTTGAAAATGATGTCTAATTTCCTTTCAAAGCATCAATTCGGGAATATTCCTGATTCACCACTTCAATTAGTAAATCAGAAACTTTCAATTAGTTCATTTCACTGTTGAAGCACAGCTTCAAATTCAAATGTGCACTGATCGATAAAAGTTTCTCGCATCGCATGATGCTTGCCAGGAATTTAGGGTCTTGATTCGAGACAAAAATCCAACGATAATCCGTGAGTGTATGGTTATTGGCAAAATTCTTTGCTAGAGGCAAACGGTCGGTCTGTGATTTGTTGGAGAATTTGGATAGCGATAGGTAGTAAAAAAAAGGTGCGACCGTAGAATTGCGATGAGCATGTATGAAAATTACATTTTATTACGGGCAATAAGCCAACTGCTGTTGCTATACATATGAGTATTTGCTTGTCATTCGGCTCTCGCTCTCAATCTCACTCTCCGGGGATTTTGATCGTTCATTTGAGGGCATCCGATTTGGTAGCTCCTTTTCACATCATTCGTGCAGAAGCACAAAACCGTGATTTTTAACATGCCGAACAAATGTTTGCTCTTTTCACTCATATCTTTTCACCGTTGGCTACATCATCGTTGGTAATTTAAATAATTCAACTGTATCTTTTTTTCATTTTTCGGTTGGATCTTTTGCCGGGAATGTGCGACGGCAGTAATAGAAGCATAGTTGTTTTTGTAATTTTCACAAATTCATTTTGAATAATACCCGAATGAGTTTTTACCATGTGACTGTGTGTGCTTCAGCATTCTTCATTCGGCCATTGGATGGTTTTTGTGAGCTACAAGTTCCTGGAGTAACTTATGATGAAGTATCTCACGTTTAATTGATCCGATGTGAATTGAAACGGATTTTTGGTGTCGTTATTCGACACAAATCAAATTTGTGGCACAAGCCACACACACACTGGCATCCTTGAAACTTTTCCAAAAACAGCATTTGAGAATTAAACCCATACCAGCAAATTACACAAAATTGTCCCCATTCATTCTCTCCGTAATGCGGATTTGCTGCTATGTTCGCACTTCGCGGTGCCCATTGTTGAAATACGATACTCTGGAATGCGGTTAAAACAAAGCGCAACATAAATTGCTTTATAATGTTCATAAAATTGAGTTTTCTCTAAGTGTTTGTACTTACTTAATTCTAGCGCATTTGTTTCCCGCCATTTTTCATATTTTTCTCATTCTCTCGCTCTCGCTCTCTCATCCCTTAATACGTCGTTCGTTACAAAAAGCAGATTTCGTTTGTAAATGTATTTGTTCTTTTGTCGTTCGCTTTGCTGTGTGCCCATTTTTCGTTTTCTGTTAATATTTGTAATTTAATCCTGGTTCGAAATCGTTTCGACAATATAATCTAGTTACTTAAAACTGCGAACAAAAAAATTAAATCCCCTTCAAAAAAACAATTATCAAGGTGAAATGGAGCACAGAAACAATGGAGGGTGGAACAACATAGAAGTATGAAAAAATACCATGCGTATTGCGTAACATGAGAAAAAGCGCATGTAAATTATGAAAATGGACAAAATTTTGCGCTATAAAGAAAACAAAGTTAAATGCTCTGAAATGGTGAATTAACAAAGCTGCAATTAGTTATTAATTATGTGCTCGCTTGCGCGCCGATTATATAAGAAACGCAAGCCGATTCGGGGTGTAATTTTCAGTTCAACACAAATATGAGTAATTACATTAAGCACTTTCAATAATTACGTTTAATTGAAAACAATTAGCGCTTTGAAAAAAAAAAATGTTTCCCACCACGCCGAAGTTTTTTTAATCGCCGCTAAAAATTGTGCTGCATTTTTTTCCTTCTTCAAGTTGATTGCATAAAAACAATTATAAAAGTTGAAAGCCACAAAGGAAAAAAAATTGAATTAAATACGGTTAAATATGTACATTTTGCTTGAAATTGATGGAACAAATGCCGGTGTTAATTAGGCATTTGTCGGGAAAATTTTGTTTTTTACGTTCAACTTGAATTTAATATCATGAATGTGTTTACTGATATTCTCTTGGTTTGGTTTTTTTGAAAATATGCCGAAAATGCTTTAATTTACCAAGCGTCATCGTAATCTGTTCACTTTCTATCTTAATTCACACAACAGCACTTGAATTAACCAATCCATTTCTGTCTTTTCTATTGCAGGTAAGACTTGGACTCAAATTGGAACGGATTTCTGACTATTGAAATAAGTGATTCGCTGCAACAAAGTTGCCAGATAAAATCAAAGAGGAAGCAATAGATAAACTGAAAGAAGAAGAAGAAGGAGAGAAATTGAAACGTCCAAGGAGGTCATTAACAATTTTGGCATAAGTCGTTGCCAAGGTTATTTATTCGGCCAATTGAACAATTTCAGTACCAAATATATCTATACATCGTTGTCACACATCGGCACCGCTTGTGAAAATCGCCCTGGCCGCGTGCTTTTATGCTCTATTTCGCGCCCTAAAGTTATTTTTTTGTTTAGTTTTGTTTTTGATTTTCGTTGTCCGTTCGGTTTCGATTCGCTGACGATTGGTGAATGAATAATACAAGAGTGAAATCGATTTTATCGTACGAATGGCCTCATGGTGGTGTCGACCGCGCATACATTGCATCGATAATATAGCAGCAACGTATCGACGAGGATATTCACCAAAAGAACGCTAGCAATCAGCTGAAAAACAGTCAACAACGCAAAAATTATAGCAACTCGTTCGTGTTTTTCGATTTTCAAACGAGACCATAACGCGACCGGTTTAGAAATTAAGAGGACGACGCCATGAGGCTTGTTTCCCATTTTCGGGTGCTCGTTTTGGCCCACATCATCGCAATTGTTGCGCCAACTGGAGGTTTGTACACATATATTAGTAACACATTTTCAATTAACATTTCAACCTAAATACTGATGATTGCTTTTACTGGAACTCAACCGAATGTTTGGTACACCGAACTATTATCAAGCTTTTCTGTCGACAATTGATTTTGCTCAACTGACATACATACAGCCAATTTTTATCGTAGACCATTTAAGCGAATGAAAATGGTAAGGGAAAAAACTTGCAGGGAATTGTATTCTGAAAAAAAAAATAATTTTGTTGGACTAGGAAAGAAAATGTTTTCCTATGTAACATCTTCAATATGCTGCTTCCAGTGTGAATTGAAATGTATTTCCCCATTCATTATCTGTTCCATGGCATTTGGTTTGTCATTGTGATAGGAAATGAACTCGTTTCTAACTGACATTTAATTTCGGAAACAATTCCAACATTTGAATTACGCTTATCACTTTCAAATCTCGGTCTAGCTCGCACGAAGTAAAATCTTTATAAATCAGGCAGGGTTAATTTTCGTGAAATAAATTGCCACTAAGATTTACATTTTTTTTTCTAGTTTTCCAACTGAAAATAATTTTAAATTGTTTGCTACAATCCATTATAAATAAAGTTAAATAAGATCATCAAAGCTAAAGAATTCATTTGAATGGAGTCCTGGAATTTCGAATAGTTCAAACTATCGTTAATAACTTCAAAAGTAAACGCAAAGTTTTCCAATCGCTCTTTACTTTAAAATGCATGCAGTGAATTCGAGTGCCGTCACCCCAAAACTGCTGTGATTACTTTATCTTGTCTAATTCCAGAAAGTTCATTGATCACATTCCAAAGCGATTTGTTTGAGAGAATGGGTTTTCTATCGAGTAAATTATCGGAAGAGTTTTTAATTTTTCTTTGAAAATGCAATTTTGAATTAAAACAAAAAAAAATTGCGGAATTGGTTGACCGATGAATGCTAATTTTCATTTGTAGTTGACGTAAACAGTATTTTTTTTACAATGCTTATAATTTTTGTCTCTATTTTTCTTTTAAATTCAAGTGAGATATTCTTCCATTTAAAACAATGCGGATTTCATAACAATTGCGAGCTCGCAAAATATGAAAATGCTGGCAAGAGAGAAAATAAAGACCTGAACGAAACATTTCGTATGAGAGTATATAGTATAATCGGGCAAATGGTTGAGGAAAAAAAACACTGGAACAAAGAATTGCAGTGTTTTTGTGCAATCGTCAACATTTTCGCTAAAATTGCTAGGCAAATCATTTTTACCATCGAAAATGCTACTTTATTAAAAACTGCGTGTTAGAATGGAGTATTCTATTTACATTTTGAATTCCATGCAGAAAAAAATAGCACAAACAACTTTAATAATGATACTGCATAGCAACGCAAACTCATTTCATAGAACAAAAAAAGTTTGTATTTACACAAAATATTTTAGATTTCGGTGAGTGGATGGCATGCTGCATTTTTGCTGAATAGAAACTGAGGCGAAAAAAATGGTTGAACTTTGAGCTGAGTTATTGTAACATGGATGAAAAAGCTGTTTTTCCTTGCGGTTAATTTGGTTGGCTAGTTTTTATTCGTTCACAGAGATAGAGGAATTTGGGAACATCAATGTAGACATCAAAAATTTAAAAACCAAATTCTGACACAATTCAATAAGGTAACCGTTTCTCTGGTTGATATTCCCGGACGGCGAGCGTGAAAAATCAATAACTCAACTTTATGTTCGGGGAACAACACGACGCAGAACTACAGACGCCAGAAAAAGCTCTGGCAACACAATGTTGCGGCTTTTCTTCATTGAAATGGGAGCACTTTAGGTTGTCGTTTTTTTTTCACTCGTTTGCTTTAACTGTGGTGGATTTTCTATACGCCAAATTTGTTTGCACTCTTGCACGAAGATCTACAGATGTTGAAGCTCGCTTGTTGGAACCAAGTTAACAAACAGACCCTTATATGTCGTGGTAGTGACAATTTTCAATAATCCCGTTGTCGTTAGTACGGCGCCTTTTCCCCCACATTTCCCGACACATCGCAATGAAAAGATTTCAGTTTTCATTTCAATGTTATTCCGGATCATTTGGTTTTGAAATCAAACTTACTCAAATTAATAATCGATTTTCATGGAATCATTGCACTCGGAGGCGGAAATTAATGCGTACTTATTGATGAATGATGGTTACATTCGACAACTATACTTCGGCTTGATTTCACTTAAATCCGGTTTGTATGTGTGTGTGCAAACGCTTGAGTCGCTGAGTATGTGCGATGAATTCAAGAGGCAAAATGTAGATGCGTAATCAAAAATGAATAAATTTTATGGTAGCAAATGTTACCACCGAAATCAAATTCGACGATGGTTTTTTTTTTCTTCTTCCTTATCGAAGTTCAATTTTGGCAAACGCAAATACGAAAGACAATAACACCCATAAATCTAGAACGAAAAACTCAGTACACAACGCAATCGCTCACTCAGTAAGCATAAAACAGATAAGCGACACCGTACATTTTGCTGGCAAGTGCGAAAATCCAGAAAATCGCACAATTTGAACGAAAAAAAACGCAGCACATCAATGAGCATAAGCTAAAGCATACGTGATAAAATATGCGACATCGAGAACTGGATTCAATGACACCTCCGACCAACGAAGGAAAAAGCAACGATAGAGACAGAGAGATCAAATGCAAAGCATCTCTCCATTGTTTCCTATTGATTTATGATTATTTTATGTAGCCCGCACAAGAACACGCACACACAATGTCAATGTCTTAGGTTGGTAGCAGTCTTGTTTCGTTTCCTGTTCACCGCGCGTTGGTTTCACGTGAGCACACACATAAAAAAAAAATAGCAAGCACCGCACGGCCAAATCAAGTCGACACATAAAGAGATAACATATGCCAAAGCCACCGCCACTAACTTAACGTTTTCTTTTTGTCGAGGAAAATTTATAATCTTTCGATCTGCTTCTTTGGCATTGTGCTCTCGGCAAAACTTTTGAAATTTCGGTGAATAACAACTTTTTTTTATTTCGTATTCGGTTTCTGTTCGTGATTTACGCTCCCCAGTGCGTGCTAATGCTCATACACTTACACACAGCCATCAGCAACAGAGAAAAACGAATATAAAAAACACAAAACGAATTACTTTGACACGCACCGATTTTTTTCTCTCTCTACTTCTTCCCATCGAATCGAATGTGAGCTCCGAGATTTATGCTAAAACGTGTTCCGACACCACTGCCGAAGTCGATGCACACAACATTGTGTTCGACCTATGTTTTATACACTCAAAAATGCCCCCGAACTTTGCGTGCAACATGTTTTGTACGCGCATAGAACGCATCAAAGTCACCTAAAGCACGAGAAGATATACTTCGGCAGATGCGGACGTGAGGCACATGGTGAAAAGCAACTTAGTCGCACAATTTTATTATTTTTAGAACTTTGTACCCATTGCGTTACGTCGATATTCTTATAGGACTTAGAGAAGTATATTCAAAGCTCGTTTCAAGTGAAATAGTCGTCGACTGGTAATCTTGTCGCTGAAAATATTTAATTACAATTATATTATCATAGTTTTTATCAGCATCAGCACATTCGCTCAACACAATCGCATTGAAAATGTCATTGAAATAAATGAATCAATGGAAATAATATCAAGTAATATAATTCGCTGTATAAATGCAACAGTCGCGTTAAATCATTCCATTCATTGTAGCTGTCGGGCCGTGAAGGTGCAATGTAAATTATGCAATTGGCTGCAATTACAATGTCTTTTGATGGCTAAAATGTCTTATTTTCTATCTTTATCTCTATCTCTTTACATATGTATATATCCCTTTTCCCGCTCTAACAGTTCCAATAGCTCGAGCTCTCGTCGTGCAGGGGGATTCTTAGATTTCATTACGATCATTGTTCTATTCGTTTGAATTCATTGTTCGCACGCTATTTTAATTATGTGCAAATTTTTTCCTCCATTTTTTCATCATTCTCATCAACGAGTCTTGAAAAGAAACTCCTGAAAGAAAAGAATAAATTACACTTTACACAAAAGTTTCTTTTCACAAGGAGCAGTCGCTGCCGGGCAATATTACACATCTCATTTTCGGATTAATTACATTTTTGCCCATCAAAAATGTCTGAACAGTTGAAGTCTCTTGAATTTTCATTCGTTGGAAACAATAAAGTTATTTGGATGAACTGTCCAATGCAGATTGGTCATTTCAAAAGGCATGCGATAATGGAATTGACCGAGGAAAATTTAATTTTTCTCTGATTGTATTATGGATAAATTGTGCGGACAGGTAATTTTTCTACATGATGAATATTTCGAATTATTCAATGCTGAAATGTGTGGTATGAGTAATGAAGTTGTATCAATTGGATAAAGTTGTGAAAAAAACGTCTTACCACAAAAAAAATCAGAAAGAAAATAAAGGAATTTTTATAATAAAATCACAGAATATGCCGACTAAGCTGATTCAATATATTTTAACAAACGGCCTATTTAGGTAGTGTCAACATAATTTTACCTAGATACGGAAGGGAAAAAATTGCCCGGGATTGCTTACTGAAAATACTGAACAAACATTGTTTCAATCAAGCGGAGAGAAATCGATATTTTTTTGTTATATTACAATCCAAACACCTGACAATGTTTCCAATTTATTTTTCACTTGGTTGTCGTTTCGATTTCATCACTCGAAACGACACGTTCGACAAATATTAAATACAGCGTGGTAACAAGAAGATAAATAATGATAGTTCTAATGAAAATCGACAGCGGAATTTTCCGCATGCGATAACATTCGGTAAATGGAGAGACAGAGCGAAAGTGTGCGAAAGAGATGAAGATAAGTTGGAGCGATCGGTAAACATGGTCTATTCGAAGCATTGACATTTTTGCACAAAAAGCTGACCATTCAACAAAAAGCGACAGCGATTGAGTGCAAATTCCATAATCAATAGCAATCTGCACTATCGTCATGGCCATTTGTTATTTGATTAAGAG